CTGTGCAGCAGCTCCTCTCAGCAACTGACGGCTTTTTTTCCTGAGCCACCAGCAGAGCCCAGAGACCACCGTCAGGACTCCAGCAACGGCCCAGAACTGCCACTGCTGCCAGGCTCCCAGTGAAGAGCAGGGCTCCCCAGGTAAAGCTGCTCTGCTCCAGGGTCATCAGCTCCTGGGTGCTCTGCTCCTGGGTCCTCTGCTCCAGCTCCTGCAGCAGCCGAGTCATCTCCTGGCTCAGCTGCTCTGCACGATACTGCCTGTGATCGCAGTGAAGGCACCACTCCTGGTTTCCCAGCACAAATCCTCTCCTGCCCAGAGAAGAACTCTCCCACTCAAGGGGGTAATTTCCAGATGTGCACCTAGGGAGGGGGTGTGCTAGAATCCCTCCTGTTCAGAAATGGAACTGTGCTGCTCCTCGCCTTGTTTGGCCTTGCTGAGAAGCTGCGAAACGTGCCCATGGTGGAGGCTGCTGGAGCTGTGCCACTTGTTGTAGCTACCGAGTGAGAGTCCCAGCGAGAAGGGGGATCTGGGCTGAGCCAAAGCACCGTCCTTGACTCCTGCCTACCCCAGCAGCGTGTTCTCCGTGTGCAGCGTGCTCAGTTCTGCAGCACCAGCTCCCTGGCAAGTGTCTTCAGGCCTTGCTTCAGGTGTGCTTGAAAATCTCCCCCTCTGCCACAGCCCAGCTCTCTGGTCACCTCCTGCTGCTGCTAACACTGGCCTCTGCATCCTCGATGCTCAGGAAGGTGTCCGAGTCACCTTGCTGCACCCCAAGGATCATCTCAATCAGGCAGATACGACCATCGGATGTGTTCGCCAGGCGGAGCTTGCAGGAGTGCCTGGAGGGCAGCAATGTCAGAAACAAGTGTTGGGCCTGAGGCAGATGCACCCAGGCTGCTTGTACCAACGTCTGGAACCAGGAGACAGTTTTCTCCATGTCCAGGTAGGGGCCGGTGCAGAGGGTCTGTAGGAGGCTGGCAGCCTGATTTCTCCTCAGCTCCTCCTCGGGGTGGTGGAGGAAGCACAGCATGTTCTTCACCAGCCGCTCCCTCGTGCAGATGCACTCCAGCTCCACGCGGACTCTGGAGTTCCTCGCTGGCATCTCCTCTGCAGTGCCCAGCTCCAGGTGGAAGGCGTGCCCAGGAGGGGGCTTCAGGACCACGAGCAGATGGTGGACAGCAGCATCCTCACGGGGACTCCAACCTTCAAAGGCACTGACCACCCTGATGGCCAGCTTCAGCCGTGGCATGAAACTATTCCTGCAAAGTTCTTGACAGATACGGAGAAGTTCATGCACCAGGTGCTCCTCCATCGTCAACTGTTGTGGCAGGTCCAGGAGAAGCTTGTCCGAGACTCTGCCCACATCCAGTGCAACAGAGGCTTCTTCTTCTTCTTCTGGCTCTTCCTTGTCTGGCTCTTTTCTGGGACTCTCTTTGCTCCTGTTGGATGGCCAACAGATCCCAATCACAAGATTCCAGAAGATTATAAAGAACAGGGCCAAAAGTAGAGCAATGGCACGGAATATACACTGCAGTTCTCGTAGAGCCCCACTGAATGTTTGTTTTTGGTCCCCCTCGTCTGCCTCTTTTCTGGAACTGTCCTCTCTGCTGTTGGCTGGCTGACGGCTCTTTTTCCTGAGCCACCAGCAGAGCCCAAAGAGCACCATCAGGGCTCCAGCAAAGGCCCAGAACTGCCAGTGCTGCATGGCAGCGCAGAGCAGGGATCTACAGGCAAAGCCGCTCTGCTCCGGGCTCCTCTGCTCCAGGCTGGTCTGCTCCACCTCCCCAGGCTGGTCGCCTCCACCCCCTGCAGCAGCTGAGCCATCTTCTCATTGAGAAACACCTCACGCTGTTGCATTTGCTCGCGCGTGGCATCATCCAGCTCATCACCGACCATCGGCAGGTTCTGGACGATACATAGCACAACGTACTCCATCAGTCTGATGGCAGCCATGGCCTGCAGGAGGAGGGAGAGAAGGGGTTGAGCGGGGCTGGGAGGAAGAGCGCAGGGAGCCGGGGGAGGTAGGAGAGGGGCCGAGGCAGCTGGGAGAGTCCAGCCCAGCCTCCCCCGCCTGCACAGTCACTGCTGGCCCAGGCTGTACTGGGGCAGCGC